GGGGAAAATGAAAGCTGTACATAACAATTAAAGTTTGAATATGTAGAAAAATAAATAATTGTCGAACATGGGCGCTGAGTGGCCACTGCGGACTATGTCAGTTTGCGCAAGTAGGCCAGATCAGCGTGCTGGTTGAGAGCTTGCCGCTAATTGTTAGGGGCGAAATGCTATCACCACCTGGTGTCGGTGTAGGCCACGGAAGTGTAAGGGCTTGTATCAGCGTCTTCTGAAAACATAGCACTGGATTTGCTAGCCGTAAAGCTACTGCTTCAGCCGTTGCGAGCATCCGTTGGCGTAGGCCTTTGGAAAACTTAGCTGGTGTCCGGTAGAAAACCTGAAAGGCTTTATTGGTATCGACGTGTGCGACGAAAGAGCTCGACATCGATTTAGTTTCACTTTTGCTCAACCAGGATGGTACGTATTCACGTACTCTCTTTTCCAGGCGCCTCGTTGTTCGGCCAATTTATCTTGCTCCACAGGAGCCAGTGAAAGAGTAGATGCACATAGATGTGGCTTTCAACGGGAGTCGGTCTTTACCTCCCAATCGTAGGAGGGGAGAGTTTGTGAATAACAAGCGTAAGTTCGCCGCGGGGAAAGCGCTTGTGATCGCAGTTTTAGGGCGTCGTTTTACCAGATCGCTTGTTGCATCTCCTAAGAAAGGCAGTTTTATGAATATGTCTTTCTTTTCTGCGGTTGAGGTAGCAGGCTTCTTGGTGCGTTCGCCAATACTCCTGAGGATGAACCATTATGAATATCCGTTTTCAAGAAGCGTGTTCTGCAGCTGTTTGAGTTCTGCTTCGACAGTTTCAGGAGAGCAGATCCGTCGTATTCTAGCTGCTAATCCCTGAACTAGATTTCGTTCTATATTTGAGGGAACAAAACTGTGAAAGTTGGTGTATTGTTCCTTGCCAGGTTTTCTTTCGGAATACCCTACGTAGGATCGATCCATTATTTTGCCTTCGCAGAAGGACATCAAGGAATGCAATTTCATTATCAGCCTCAGTCTCTGTAGAAGACTTGAGCGATAGATGTACGCTGTTAAACTTCCTGATCGTGGCTTCAGTGCCATTGTTGTATTCTGTCACACAGAAAATATCATCCACATATCGACCGTAAAATGCAAGGTTATAGATGGTGTCTCTTAGACTCGTTCTCTTGATCTTGCCCATAAAGACATTTACGAGGAACGAGCCAAGTGGTGAGCCCATTGCCACACCTATCTGGTAGTTCGTGTCTCGCTGTGCCCTACAACATAGTGGGTGCATTGACGGTGACTTAAAAATGCATTTATTTATAGGGATAATAGGCTAGCGCGGCGTCTACCGCACACTTCCACCTGCTCCGGTCTCACGAGAACGATCAGTTCACGAATTGGCCGGCAGGATCAGCAGACAGTGGCTGCTTTCAGTATTCAAACTTTTAAATTTAAATTGGGAAAAGCAGCAAAAACGAAAGAAGTGCAGCAGTTGGGCGGAGGAGGATACGCACTCACTTTGTTCTAGGGGTTTTCTCCGTTCGTTTACACATTGCACAAAGTTTTCCAGTCTGTCCCATATTATGGCCAATTTCAGGAAGGATAGCTCATCTTCAGCGGACGTCATCAGGGCATAGAGAACGCTGCCCGAAATGTCCCCTCCTTGTGAGAAATCGTGGACAAAGACGAAGTTTTCCGTGTCCACTGTCTCTCCATGGATATCGTGCGTCCTTCTGAAAGACTTTATAAAAGCTCCTTTGAAATCCGCCAACACTCCGGAGGGAATTGCATTTTGGACGTCGACGAATGTCGGTGAACTGGTTGATTTAAAAAGAAAAACAGTCAAAAGGCAGGTACAATAGGTAGAATTCTAGGAGAACTAAATTGGCTGAAAGTACGCTTAAGGAAACATGAAATATTCTTGAATTGAAATAATTCAACCCTTTACACATAGGAACGTGAACGCTAGGCGAAAAGTAAGACCATTTTTCTAGCGATAGTCTTCTTTCAATACTGTATGGTCCACCCTCGATAAGCTCGGTTCAACGGTGGGTCCCCCAGAATCACCCACGTGTTTGTTTCAGTCTTCAAAATGAAGTCAATCCCTATCAAAGAAGCTTACGCGTGGATCTCGGATCAAGGCTCTCATGAAAATCTGGTTTCAGAAGGCTTTTCGCCCTGCTCATCACTTGCCAAAGATTTGATCTGAAGAATAAAGTTTAACTACGTGGACTCCTGGTGGGCCGAATTTCGCTGGTGTGAAATGTATGGAAACTTAATGAGTACCTATGTGCATCCATAATTTCCAAAATTGCTACCTCATACAGTTTGTGTTCTTTCTACTCACGCCATTTCCACCTCGTAATAATTTTGAACGTTCCGTTAGCGGTCGTGTGAAAGTTTGTCAATGCGTGTCAATATCCCTCGGCCCAAACCGGCAAGAGAACGCACTCGTAGCTCGATGGTTAGGACGTTTGACTCTGGTCAAAAAGACCGCGGGTTCGGGGCTCGGGTGGGACGCCACTCGGGTCTAGGCATGACTGGCTGACAACGGCTAATAAGTCGGAAATGGCCATTCCAGTCTCCCTTTTCTTTGCCGGCAATATTATCTGCCTATACCACCAGCTGCTACGGCCGTCAGGGCCTCTGCAGAGACGCTAGGCAGAGTGGGGCAGATGTGTACCGCCAGCGGTCGAGTTAACATCAATCGATGAGTGAATGAATAGGTCTTCTTTTCATTTTGTTCACATGTACTTGCGAAGATCTCGCCGTCTGTTTGAGATCAGTCTAGGCGAAATTTTGAGTAGTAGTAGCTCAATTATAAACAGATAGCTGGCAGGTCTCTGGAGGGCAACAGTAGCTTATGCAGTCCCCCTCATTAATCCCTACCCCCAGCATTTTGTCCTACAAAAACGGAGTTTATGGGGTTTTGGGTGGGGAATTAGGATACGCAATGAAATATACTTTAATAACTGCTATATGCATTATTTTATTGTATTTAGAAGTGTTGTTGATTCATGCCTGTAGATTTTCCTAGTCTGTATTATCTTTTAACATATTGTGGAAAACCCGATTATCAAATTGC